GGCCCGTGCAAACACTCCCTGGCGGTTCCCCTTAGGGGTGCTGAAACCAGCGCCCCGCCTGAGACAGCCTCAAAATCTGTTCTGAAAGCCAATGATGTTGGGCATGAGAACGAGCAAACCGCTTGAGACATCCCCACAAACTGGCCGCGAACGGGCCCATGTAAACACCCCTGGCGGCTCCCCTGAGGGGTGCTGAAACCAGCGCCCCGCCTGAGACATCCTCAAAATCTCCTCTGAAAGCAAAGGATGTTGGGCATGAGAACGAGCAAACCGCTTGAGACATCCCCACAAACTGGCCGCGAACGGGCCCGTGCTAACACCCTTGGCGGCTCCCCTTAGGGGTGCTGAAACCAGCGCCCCGCCTGAGACATCCTCAAAATGTGCTCTGAATGCAAAGGATGTTGGGCATGACAACGAGCAAACCTCTTGAGACATCCTCACAAACTGGCCGCGAACGGGCCCGTGCAAACACCCGTGGCGGCTCCCCTGAGGGGTGATGAAACCAGCGCCCCGCCTGAGACATCTTCAAACTTTGATTTGAAAGCAAAGGGTGTTGGGCATGAAAACGAGCAAACCGCTTGAGACATCCCCACAAACCGGCCGCGAACGGGCCCGTGCAAACACCCTTGGCGGCGCCCCTTAGGGGTTCTGAAACCAGCGCCCCGCCTGAGACATCTTCAAAACCAAGGATGTTGGGCATGAAAACGAACAAACCGCATGAGACATCCCCACAAACTGGCAGCGAACGGGCCCATGAAAACACCCCTGGCGGCTCCCCTGAGGGGTGCTGAAACCAGCGCCCCGCCTGAGACATCCTCAGAATCTGCTCTGAAAGCCAAGGATTCTCGGCATGAAAACGAGCAAACCGCTTGAGACATTTCCACAAACTGGCCGCGAACAGGCCCGTGCAAACACACCTGGCGGCCCCTTGTAGGGGTGCTGAAACCAGCGCCCCGCCTGAGACATCCTCAAAATCTGTTCTGAAAACCAAGGACGTTGGGCATGAGAACGAGCAAACCGCTTGAGACATCCTCACAAACTGGCCGCGAACGGGCCCGTGAAAACACCCCTGGCGGCTCCCCTTAGGGGTGTTGAAACCAGCGCCCCGCCTGAGACATCCTCAAAATCTGCTCTGGAAGCCAATGATGTTGGGCATGACAACGAGCAAACCGCCTGAAACATCCCCACAAACTGGCCGCGAACGGGCCCGTGCAAACACCCGTGGCGGCTCCCCTTAGGGGTGCTGAAACGGGCGCCCCGCCTGAGACATCCTCAAAATCTGTTCTGAAAGCCAAGGATGTTGGGCATGAAAACGAGCAAACCGCCCGAGGCATCCCCACAAACTGGCCGCGAACGGGCCCGTGCAAACACCCCTGGCGGCTCCCCTGAGGGGTGATGAAACCAGCGCCCCGCCTGAGATCCGCCTGAATATGAGTAAGTCTGTGTATGAGTAAGTTAGTGTATGTGTACGTCTGGGTATGAGTAAGTCTGAGTATGAATAGGTCTCAGTATGAGTAAGTCTGTGTGTGAGTAAGTCTGGACATGAGTAAGTCTCGTATGAGGAGACGAGAAGAGGAGGGGACGAGAAGAGGAAGGAGAAGGAGGAGTAGGAGGCGTCCAAGTAATAACAATAACCCCATCTTAGGATATGGGGAATACGGCACGCATCGCGTTGACCCGGCACGTTGGCCACGTTGCGTTGCCGACGTTACCACAGCTGCGAGCAGCCGAGGTGGGCGTCGGGTGCAACTGCGCAGTGGATCCCACGCGGAGAGAAAGCACGCGTGGCGCGAGGCGGCTCGTTGGCCACTGCTTATCTCCGAGGACGGCTTGTGCGCACCGCACCGTGTTAGAATCTCCCGAGGCGTCGCCAATCCTCGACCCAGGAATAGTACGGTGCATGGTTCTCCGGCCCATCAGGGCAACAAAGCTATGCACCGTACCGCTATGAGTTGGGGCCTGAACGGAGTCCAAACGGCGCCGCTTTCGCATCGTCGACGTCATCGCTGGGCCTCTCCCGCCTCACTCCCACCCGCTTCCCCTGCAACCCCGACAAGAGGGGGGCCTCGAGCGTGGCGACTGGAGAGCTTGTGCACGCCAGCGCCTCTCACGCCTGCGTCTGGTGGGTTCGTGTCGTGCCGGCGCCGCAGCGACCACGCCGCGGGCGCCCAAGGTTGAACGTTCCCAGTGGCCCAGATTTGGCCGGTCATGAAACGATTTGGTAATCGAACAGCGGCCAGTCTTTTCAGGTTGAACGTTCCACGCGGTGTCAGAAACCAAAGCCGGGGTCGTCACGACACCGATTTGCGGTACCCGACCAGGCAGTTGGGCATTGTATTTGCGTTCGCCGAGGCCAAGCGTCCAGCACGCTTCTCCATCGCCAGATCGTTCCCTACTGGCCGATTCTGGGCCAATGGCGGAGTTCAGCCTGGAACGTCCGCGGTGGGGCCGCTGCCGCGTCGGCACGACACGAAGTTGCCGATGAGCTAAGAGGAATTATGGGTCAGGGTGGACCTGGTTAGTCGACCGGGTCAGAAAGGACGAAGCGATAACATTGAGTCGATTGTCTAAGATTTTAAACCAGATCTGACAATGCATTTGTGAAATTGAAGATGCTTACACTGAGCCTTAGATCATGCTCGTAAAAGCCTCAGGGCTGCAGCCTGCTTAGGCAGCCTTGCCGCTGTCTCTGCTCTCCCGAGGCGAGGCGTCCAGCGCGCCGCTCGGCGCGTCGCGGCAGGGTCGGGTCGTCGTGGCCCACTGCTGCTGGCCGCTCGCCGCGGCCTCCAGGAGGGCGCCGCGGCGAGCTGGAAACCGATCTGCGTAATCTCGGGGGGCGACAAAGTCGGGCGGGGCTAGGATCATGATGTTCCAACTTACCTTAGCCTTGATCACCAGAGAGAGTCTCGAGCACCAAGGAAGTACCGAGACTTGGGGGTTTCCACGTGTCGGGCCCTGGGAGGCGATACTCGTTCGGCACTGTTTCAATACTTTTTCTGGGGGCTCGAAATTATTTCTGGGATGTGGTCCTGAAGTACGATGGGAGCAACATAAGGCTAGGACGAGGGTGCATCCGTTCCAGAGCGTTCTGGAACGCTTCACCCTGATTTGTCCTCGTCCCGCCTTCGTCTGACAGAGTTTCAGAAGAGGGCTAGTGGAGACAACGGTGGCTGTCCTTCGCGGGGCTCGTTCGTCGCCACGGCCAGACGCAGCTCGGAAGGTCGGTGCGTTCGGGCCCTGGGAGCCCACTTCAAGCTGCCGTTGTCTCAACCCTCCCCTGCTCCGAGCATCCACGGCTCGCCCTCGCTGGGAGCCCGTCGGCGTGCTGTGCTCCTTCGCTCTGTCCGGCGGCCTGCTGCTTCCCTGGCAGGAGCACGCCGATGGGCTCCCCACGGCGGCGTGTCATTGCTGTTGCACGTGCTCCCCCACAGCCGTATAAGATGATGGGCCTGCGTTCCACCACCACCAAAAGTTGCAGGGGGGAAGGAGGAGGACGACGAGGAGGAGGAGGGGGAGGAGGAGGAGGAGGAGAAGGAGGAGGAGGAGGAGCTGGAGGTGGAGGAGGAGGACGGGGAGGAGGAGGTGGAGGAGGAGGAGGAAGAGGAGGAGGAGGAAGAGGAGGAGGAAGAAGAGGAGGAGGAGGAGGACCCCCTCCCCCTCCAACTTGCGGTGGTGGTGGTGGAAAGCAGGCCGACCATACAGGAGTCGGAGGTCTGGGCGGATGTCTCCCAAGAGCGTCCGGCGCCGATCCGAGAAAAGTCCGCGGGGACCTCTGGAAGTCCCTGTTGTTGCAGGCGTCCCTTCGGATTGTCATGTCTGATCTAGCTCGCCGCATCCACGGCCGCTCCACTACTGAGGTATGCGGGCCTTCGCCCGGAACGTGATGCACGTATTTTGGTTGGACGTCCAACGCTCGCGAACCTACGGAGGTCTGGGCGGATGTTTCCCAAGAGCGTCCAGCGCCGATCCGAGAAGTCCGCGTGGACCTCTGGAAGTCCCTGTTGTTGCAGGCGTCTCTTCGGATTGTCATGTCTGATCTAGCTCGCCGCATCCACGGCCGCTCCACGCCTGGCCGCGCCGCTGCGAGTCTCTGGTCTCGGCGCCCTCGCCGCCCCCTCCCGGCCACCGCGGGGGGCCCGCTCCCTCGCTGCGGCCGCACGCGGCGCCGAGTCGGCGCTTCCCGGTGTGGTGTATTCTGCCGCGCTCTCCCGTCGGCCTTGTTGGGATCCCCGCGCCAAGCTCGGATTGGCACTCTCTTTGCGTCACCCCTGTGTGTTCGCACTCCTCGTCGTGAGAGTGCTCAGCTTGCTCTACGTCTTCTTCGCGCTGCGCGTGGCAGCGCTCTCCTGCGTGCACAGCGCACGCATTGCTCCGCGGGCTCGTTACCCTGATGGCCGCGCGGCCCGCCTGCCACTGAGTCGGCCCCCGCCTGTGCAGGGCAGCACGATCCTGAGGAGCGCCGAGTGTCCGCGGGAAGTTTCGACATTCGCAGGCTGACCTCGTCACGGTGCTCGACGTGTATGCTGCTCTCGTGGGTCGGGTGTTGCTAGAAGCGGTGCTGGCCCAAGGTGCCTCCAGCTTCTCGCGCCGTTTTGGAGCCCATCTGGCCGTCGGGGCCTCGTGGGGGGTGCTCTGGGCCTCCCCGGGAATCATGGGAACACTGTGGGCCAGGGACACATTTGGCAACACCCGAGTGCTATGAGGAAAATCCTGGAGGTCTCTTGCAGCGTGCAATAGTTGTATCATCTAGCCCACGCGTCCGCCACGTACGATATGGGTCAACGTTCGCGCGGCGATGATCCGACGCAAACCCGACGTAGTCCGACGTGAACCTGACGTAGATCCGACGTGGATCTGACGTAAAATGAGTCCCAAGTTGCTGCGCAAGGCCTCCAGGATTTTCCTCATCATGAAAGGTGCGTGCGATTGAGGGGATGTGGATGCGTCGCTCCTCGCGGACAGGTAAGCGTGCAGGCTCGCGCCCCCTTCCCCTGCGGCAGGTGGGCGACTTCATCGTGAGCGTCAACGGCACCGGCGTGGGCATCAGCATCCACAAGATGCTGAAAGCAATCAGGGAGCCGCTCTCGGCGGCCCCGGCTGTCTGGAGGGCGGGAGGAGGAAATGGGAGGGAGGGGTCGCCACGAGGGAAAGGTGTCCTGAGGGAAACGGGTCCTGAGGTCTTTCGCCTCTGTCGGGCTCCTGGGGCCCTCCCAGGGCTCTGGAGCCATCGGAAAACACTTCAGGGTGAAAATCTGATCTTGGGGGAAGGCCACAGGGTTCAGGACCCGTTTCCCAGAGGATCCGCTTCTTTCATGCCAAGCAAGCGAGGTGCGTCCAAATTGCCTGAACACGTCCTGGCAAAGGAAACGTATCCCTTCCTTTTCAATTGTTTGCTGGCTGAGCTCTAACGAAACGAGGATCGACCGTTTGTTAGCGCGAGTTTGGGGCTCACCCGAGAGCCCTTTACAAAGGAGTCAAAGGGTTATAACTAAGGGAGCCAAACCTCCGACACCGAGTTCTCTCAGCACGGGATACCCAGAAGTTCCGACCCCTTCTCGGAGACAAGTTTGTTTTTTTGTTCTGGATCCTTTCTCAACGGCATCGGGGGCCCAGACACGGCCTCTGGACGCCGAAAATGGCGAAAACGTGTTTGATGTTCCTGGGACGCGGAGTGGAAAAGATCGATCCTCTGGCGGCTTGGGCTTGGCAGCAGCAGCGGCAGCAGCAGCCGCGGCGGCTCGGCAGACGGGAGGGGCCGCCTCCCCGGACCCTCGTGGGCGCCGCGAGGAGGCAGCAGCTCTCGGCGGGAGGTGGCAGAGATTGATCGTGCAGCCGCTCACGGGAGCCATCGTCCTTGTACGCTCATGGGGCAGAGATTGATCGCGTAGCCGTTCACGGGAGCTGTTCATGGGAGCCGATCGTGGGGCAGAGACTGATCGTGTAGCCGTACATGTGTCTTGTGTGTTTTACAGAGTCCGTGCCATTTCCGCGTCGTCTTTCTCCCCCCCGCGGCCGTTGTGCATTGATGGCGTTGGGCCCATGTGGGACGTTGAGCGTATTCGACCAGAGGCTGAACGAAAGCAAACGCCTAAGCGTAACGCGATGGCTCCCATGAACGGCTGCACAATATTGAGGAGGGCGGATCGAGGAGGGATGAAGGAGGATCTTGAAGTATCCCAGGGAACGGTAGGAAACTCCAGGACCCCCGCCGTAAAATAAATCTACACAGCGTCGGAGGTATGTGTCCTCCAAATCGGCGGGCCCTCAACTTGCGAGTGTGGCAGCTCTGGTCGAGAACAGCAGAGCCGAGGCTTCCCACACCATCGCGTTTTTGGGAGACCATGGGGCCCAGAAGAACTTTTCCGAGAGCCTCCCAGGGGCTTTCCAGATTTTGAGCTTCAGGAGGCTCCCAGGGTCCCCCAAAGGCTCCCAAGGAGTCCAAGGGGCCTCCCAAGGCCTCCCAGGCTTCCTTACGCAGGTCCCTCAAAGATCGTGCACCAAGAGTTCTCAGGGCCCACCTGGGGCCTCCTTCGCCTACAGGGGCTTCCTTCCCGGGGCGCCCCGGAAGCTCCCAAGGGCTTCCCCAGAGCCATCTTGGCCCCTGGGCTCCCTCCAGACGGCGTCAGAAGCGGCGGGCCTCGAGGCAATCCGTCCCAGGATCACTGCTGCTCGGTCCGAGAAGAGGGGGGGAGGGCGACGCTGTGGGCGCGCGGGGCCGGGCAGGGTCCGCGAGCACCTTGGGCTCGAGGGTGAGCACCGCTCATGCGCCTGGAAGAACGCGGCGCGCGAGCAGCCGCGCGGCGCCTGCTGCGGGACAATGCCGGGCATACTGGAGAAGATCGCGGCCTTGGAGCACGAGATGGCCATCACGCAGAAGAACAAGGCCACCACCACGCACCTAGGCTCGCTGAAGGCGAAACTCTGCGCGCTGAGGCGGGAGCTGCTGAACCCAGAGAAGGCGGGGGGCAAAAAGGTTCCTGGCTTCGAGGTGCAGCGGTACGGCAATTCCCGCGTGGCGCTTATCGGCTTCCCGTCCGTGGGCAAGTCATCCCTCCTCACGGCCCTCACCGGGGTTGAGTCCGAGGCGGCGGACTACGAGTTCACCACGCTGACCTGCATCCCTGGAGTCGTCCACCTGAACGACGCCAAGATCCAGCTCCTCGACCTACCCGGCATCATCAGTGGCGCGGCACAGGGCAAGGGCAGGGGGCGACAGGTAATCGCCACCGCGCGCTCGGCTGACATGATCCTCATGGTGCTGGACGCCACCAAGGACGACGCGCAGAGGCAGATGCTCACCAAGGAGCTGGAAGACGTCGGCATCCGCCTCAACAAGCAGAGGCCGAAAATCTCTGTCAACCGCACCAAGACTGGCGGCCTGAAGTTCAACGCCACGGTTCCCCTCTCCATCCTGAGCTACGAGATGTGCCATGGCATCTTGCAGACGTACAAAATATTCAACGTGGATGTGGTTATACACGAGGACGCCAGCATCGACGATTTCATCGACGTGCTCGAGGAGTCCGGCACGACGCCCCGAGTGTATATGAAGTGTATCTATGTATACAACAAGATAGACATGCTGTCGATCAAGATGGTAGACACGCTGGCTAGGCAGCCTTTCACCCAGGTCATTTCCGTCAGGCAGAAGATGAACTTAGATGGCCTCTTGGACAGAATATGGCAGGAGCTGGCATTAGTCCGCGTGTACACGAAAAAGAAGGGCATGTTCCCCGATTTCAGCGATCCTCTTGTTATGACGCCCCAGAGAGGGAACAAATTTCTCACGGTGGAGAATGCGGTGGGCATGCTCCACAAGAGCTTATTAGAGGAGTTCAAGTCGGCGCTAGTGTGGGGCACCAGCGTTAGGTCCTCGCCCCAGATCTGCGGCAAGACGCACGAACTCCAAGACGAGGACGTGATGCAGATCCAGAAGCTCACGCAGGCGGAGAGGGCGCGGAAGTCGCACGGAAAGAAGACGGGCCAGACGGTCGCGGGCACCGGCATCCCGGTGGACCCGAAGGCCGCGCGGGACAAAAAGGACAAGGCACCGTTGAAGACCTGAGCTCGGCAGACCCGCCTGCGAGGTGGGCCTCTATGGCCTCAGCCTCGGCCAGGTTCCCTCTGCCTCCCCTCGCGCTCCCTCCCCGTCGGCTCGTCAACCTCACGCCCGCTGGCGCGCACGCGCTGGCGGACCAAGAGCAAAAGGCAGCCATGATTCCCACGCCCCAGGTCCGAGGTGGGAACTTTTTCACAACCCCCTCCTGGGGGATCGGTCTTCGGGGACATCGGCAGGCGGTAGGTACGAATGATGCATTCGGGCCTCCGGGGGCCGAAGCATGCGTGTCCGTATCCACCGCTGGCTGGGATCTGACATCGGTTCCCCAGGCGGTGGATAGTGATCAGAATGAGGAGACCGAACGGTCTTACACAATCCCTGGGTGCATGGGTGAAGTGGGATTCCTCGGCCTTGATTTAACTTGTTTGTTATGTGTTGTTGTTATTGTTGTTGTTGCTGTTGCTGTTGTTGCTGTTGTTGCTGTTGTTGCTTGATGTTATTATGATTGTTATTGTTGTTGCTGTTGTTATTGTTGAATTATTAATGCTGAAGAATAATTATGGTTGATCCCCCCCTCCGGTGCACATTGTATTTTTCGATTGAAGTGCCCCTCCTGGCGCTCCCACCTTGTTCTTCATCAGAGAAAATCTTCATCCTCAAACTGCGTTGTTGGCCCCCGGGTTACAGCAACAACGGCTCCCGCTTAAGACTTTTTCGCAATTTAGCCAGGACCCCCGGCTCCCGCCCGAGACTTCCTCGCATTTTATTCCGGAATCGCGCTCTCGCTTGGGACTTCCTTATAATTTATTCAGGAATCGTTTTCTCGGCGCTCTGGAGTCGCGCTCTCGCTGGAGATTTGCTTGCAAGCTACTCAAGAATAGCGCCCTTGCGTTGGAATTTCCCGCTATTTACTCAAGCGCCGCGCTCCCGTCACTCAGGCACCCAGGAGTCGCGCTCACGCGTAGGACTCCCTCACAGATTATTTAGGAATCGGGATCTCGTTGCCCTTCGTGGCCCCGTTGCAGCCTTTCGCGGCCCCCTCGCTGCCCTTCGTGGACCCGTTGCAGCCCTTCGTGGCCTTCTCGCTGCCCTTCGTGGCCCCATTGCAGCCGTTCGTGGCCCCCTCGCTGCCCTTCGCGGCCCCGTTGCAGCCCCTCGTGGCCCCCTCGCTTTGTTTCGCGGCCCCGTTGCAGCCCTTCGTGGCCCCCTCGCTGCCCTTCGTGGCCCCGTTGCAGCCCCTCGTGGCCCCCTCGCTGCCCTTCGTGGCCGCCTTGCAGCCCCTCGCTGCCCCTCGTGGCCCCCTCGCTGCCCTTCGCTGCCTCGTTGCAGCCCTTCGTGGCCCCCTCGCTACCCTTCGTGGCCCCATTGCAGCCTTTCGTGGCCCCCTCGCTGCCCTTCGTGGCCCCGTTGAAGCCCTTCGTGGCCCCCTCGCTGCCCTTCGTGGCCGCCTTGCAGCCCCTCGCTGCCCTTCGCGGCCCCGTTGCAGCCCTTCGTGGCCCCCTCGCTACCCTTCGCGGCCCCGTTGCAGCCTTTCGTGGCCCCCTCGCTGCCCTTCGTGGCCCCGTTGCAGCCCTTCGTGGCCCCCTCGCTGCCCTTCGCGGCCCCGTTGCAGCCCTTCGTGGCCCCCTCGCTACCCTTCGTGGCCCCATTGCAGCCTTTCGTGGCCCCCTCGTTGCCCTTCGTGGCCCCGTTGCAGCCCTTCGTGGCCCCCTCGCTGCCCTTCGTGGCCGCCTTGCAGCCCCTCGCTGCCCTTCGTGGTCCCGTTGCAGCCCTTCGTGGCCCCCTCGCTGCCATTCGTGGCCCCGTTGCAGCCCTTCGTGGCCCCCTCACTGCCCTCGTGGCCCTGTTGCAGCCCCTCGTGGCTCCCTTGCTTTTTTTCGTGGCCCCGTTGCAGCCCCTCGTGGCCCCCTCGCTGCCCTTCGTGGCCCCGTTGCAGCCCCTCGTGGCCCCCTCGCTTTGTTTCGTGGCCCCGTATATGTATGTCCTCCGTGGCCCCCGCTTGTTCGCGCCCGTCGTGGCCCCATGTGCTTGCCCTTCGTGGCCCCGCTGTCGCCCTTCGTGGCCCCCTCGCTGCCCTTCGTGGCCCCGTTGCTGCCCTCAGTGGCCCCGTCCTTGCCCTTCGCGGCCCAATATACGTATGCCCTTCGTGGCCCCCGCTCGTTCGCGCCCGTCGTGGTCCCATGGGCATGCCCTTCGTGGCTCCGATGTCGCCCTTTGTGGCCCCGCAGTATCTGCCCTTCGTGGCCCCCGCTCGTTCGCGCTCTTCGTGGCCCCATACGCATTCCCTTCGTGTCCCCGCTGTCGCCCTTCGTGGCCTACTTCGTGCCCTTCGTGGCCCTGCTGTCGGTCTCTCTCTCGCTCTCGCTTTCGGTCGTCGGGCCCGGCCTGCAGGGAAGAAGGGTCTACCCCCGAAAGGGCACGATCGAAGACGAAGAGAACGGGTATCGAGGGTTCGGGAAATACGCGTTAACGGACATTCGGGCAGATGAGAACGAACAGTCTTAACATGATCGTTGTTGTTGTCGTTGGTCTTGTTGATGGACACGTGCGCTGACGACCCGTATCCCCCCACCACCACCAACACCAACACCCCAACAGCCCCGTGGGGCCCCTGCCGTGGCCCCACGGGGCTGTTGGGGTGTTGGTGTTGGTGTCCTATAGGGTTCCATCGGGGTCCTATAGCATACTTGGGGGACTCTATACGACTCCACCCGGAGCCTATACGATTCCAGATGAAACCTATAGCAATGCCATAGGGATCTTATAGGATGCCATGGGGATCCTATAGAATTCCATTGAGACGCTGTACAATGCCATATGAGATCCGATCGGGTTCCCTAGGGGTCCGTAGGGATCCCTATAGGATCCCTGAGAATCTCTTATATGATCCCCATGGAACCCTATAGGAGTGCTACAGGATCCCGATGGAATGTTAGAAGATCCCTAGGAAATCCTCCAGGAGTCCTATATGGTCCCTGTGGAGTCTTGTAGGTTCTCTAGGGAATCCTACAGGACCAGCATGGGATCCTCTAGGACCCCTATCGGATCCTTTTGGAAATTCTATAGGATCCGTATGGAATCACACAGAAGTCTCTATGGCATCCTATGGGATCCCGATGGGATCCTACAGGAGTCCTATAGGATCCTTATGGTGGCCGTGGCTCTGAGCACATCCTTAAGCACTTCCCCGTGGGAATCCTTAGGGGATCCTCAGGAATCCCTAACGAATCAGAAGGGATCCCTCGGGAATCCTGAGGAACCCCTAGGGAATCCACCTCTCGAGGATCGTGGTCCTGGCCCCACAGGAAGCACCACCGAAGCTTTATTTCGGCACACCCCTCTCGAGGATCGTGGCCCTGGCCCCACAGGGAGCCCCACCGAAGCTTTATTTCGGCAAACCCCTCTCAAGGGTCGTGGCCCTGGCCCCACAGGGAGCTCCACCGAAACTTCATTTCGGCACACCTCTCTCGAGGATCGTGGCCCTGGCTGGCCCCACAGGGAGCTCCACCGAAGCTTCATTGCGGCACACCACTCTCGAGGATCGTGGCCCTGGCCTCACAGTGAGCTCAACCGAAACTTCATTTTGGCACACACCTCTCGAGGATCGTGGCCCTGGCCCCACATGGAGCTCCACCGAAGTCACATTTCGGCACACCCCTCTCGAGGATCTTGGTCATGGCCCCACAGGGAGCTCCACCGAAGCTTCATTTCGGCACACCCCTCTCGAAGATCGTGGCCCTGGCCCCACAGGGACCTCCACCGAAGCTTCATTTCGACAACCCCTCTCAAGGATCATGGCCCTGGTTCCACAGGGAACGTCACCGAAGCATCATTTCAGCACATCCCTCTCAAGGATCGTGGCCCTGGCCCCACAGGGAGCTCAACCGAAACTTCATTGCGGCACACCTGTCTCGAGGATCGTGGCCTTGGCCCCACAGGGAGCACCACCGAAGCTTGATTGCGGCACGCCCCTCTGGAGCACGCGGCCCTGGCCCCACAGGAAGCTCCACCGAAGAAACATTTCGGCACACCTCTCTCGAGGATCGTGGCCCTGGCCCCACAGGGAACCCAATCGAAGAATCATTTCGGCACACCCCTCTCGAGGATCGTGGTCCTGGCCCCACAGGGAGCTCCACCGAAGCTTCATTTCGGCACACCCCTTTCTAGGATCGTGGCCCTGGCCCCACAGGGAGCTCCATCGAATCACCATTTTCGGCACACCCCTGTCAAGGATCGTGGCCCTGGCGCCACAGGGAGCCCCACCGAAGCCTCATTCGGCACACCCCGTTCAAGGATCGTGGCCCTGGCCCCGCAAGGAGCCCCACCGAAGCTTCATTTCGGCAGACCCCTCCCGAGAATCGTGGCCCTGGCTTCAATGGGAGCACCTCCGAAGCTTCATTTCGGCATGCCCCTCTCGAGGATCTTGGCCTTGGCCCCACAGGGAGTACGAGGAGGATGGGGAGCAGCAGCAGGATGAGGAGGAGGAAAAGGAGGAGCCCAATGAGGATGGGGAGCAGCAGGAGAAAGAGGAGGAGGATGGGAGGGGCAGCAGGGGGAGGAGGAGGAGGATGAGCAGGAGGGGGGGGGCGGAGGAGGAGGAGGCGGATGAGGCTACTGCTGCAGCGATTGTTATTAATACCACTATTATTATTATTACTACTACTACTACTACCACTACCACTACTACTACTACTACTACTACTACTACTACTACTACTACTACTACTACTACTACTACTACTTCTACTACTACTACTACTACTACTACTACGACTACGACTACGACTACGACTACGACTACTACTACTACTACTACTACACTACTACTACTACTACTACCACTTCTACTACTACTACTACTACTACTACTACTACGACTACTACTACGACTACTACTACTACTACTACTACTACTACTACTACTACTACTACGACTACTACTACTACTACTACTACTATTACTATTACTACCACTACTACTACTACTACTACTACTACTACTACTACGACTACTACTATTACTACTACGACTACGACTACTACTACTACTACTACTACTACGACTACTACGACTACTATTACTATTACTACGACTGCTACTACTACTTGTTTTGCTACTACTACTACTACTACTACCACTACTACTACTACGGCTA